GCCGTCATAGCAACCCCAAAGAAAAAGGTATTTGTGTCTCTTGTGTGGTTATTTCTTGCAGCCCAGTTAGCCCAGTTTAACTAGAGTGACCCCTGAGCCTTTTAGTCTCGAGAACAGAAACCTGGCATGTAGGAAAATCCAGGTTCTGAAGCTTGACTATTTTGAAATAGTAGGGTTTGGGAGGAAATGGCCCAGACCTGAATTTCTCTGCTTCTTCTTTCTGTTCAACTTTCAGTTTTGCTAGGTGAGATTCCTTCACTTGACACTCTTCAATATATTTTGAATGCCAAGCACTGCTACCCCTTAGGGACATAGAAAGTCCTTGTTCTCAATCCTAGTGGATAAGATCCAATTGATAGAGGACCAATCCTCTCTAATGGGCCCAAACTTTGAATGCAATATCTTTCTTCCTTAATCTATCTATATGAGGTCCCCTTTGCTCGTTATCTGGCCATGAATAAATTGAAGAAGATGAAACGCTACCAAGTTGGAAAGGTGTGGCGGCGAGAGAGCCCAACAATAGTCCAAGGCCGCTACAGGGAGTTCTGCCAGTGTGTAAGTGACCTGATGGGGATAGCACAGCTTGATAGTTAAATAGGGAATTGACTGATTAGTGGAAGTTTTTTCCTTTTTTTTTTTTCTTTACTGTAGGATTTTGACATTGCTGGTCACTTTGACCCTATGATCCCTGATGCAGAATGTTTGAAGATCATGTGTGAAGTCCTAAGTGGGTTACAGCTAGGGGACTTTCTCATTAAGGTGAGGCCAAGGCTGAGGACTGGGGGAGATGTCTGGATTTGGCCTGATAATGTGAATATACATGTACTCTTTTGGTAAGATTTTTTTTTTTTTTTTCTTATTCCTGTTATGAGTCAGGAGGTTTTAAGGGAAAGGGTCTTGACAAGGCACTTGGGTTACTCACATTGAGTTTACAGGTCAATGACCGGCGGATAGTGGACGGGATGTTTGCTGTTTGTGGTGTTCCTGAAAGCAAGTTCCGTGCCATCTGTGCCTCAATGGACAAACTAGACAAGGTAATGAAGAAACCATGCTTCAGTAGACCCTATTTGGATTTCTGCCATGTCCTCAAATTCATACCATTTGAAGAAAATAAGGAACAGTGTCTGGAAGTGAGTTCTTGAAGGAGGAAGTTAAGGAGATATTCTGAAGCAAGATCTGAGTTGTACTGTATGGTGAGGATAGTGGCTGAGTATCTTAGACTGCCTCTGAGGGCTTGGATTGTGGCTCAGTGTTAGAGTGCTTGCCTAGCATGTGTGAGGCACTGGGTTTGACTCTTGGCACTGCATATAAATAAATGAATAAAATAAAGGTTCATCAACATCTAAAAATATTTTTTAAAAAACTGCCTCTGAGTATACTAATATATTTAACTATTTATGACATACATATTAAATGACAGATACCCTTTTCCAGTTAGACAAAGGATTTGGAACTGAGCTAACATTTGGATATTTATGCAGATGTCTTGGAGAGATGTGAGACATGAGATGGTGGCAAAGAAAGGCTTGGCTCCTGAGGTGGCTGATCGAATTGGGGAGTATATCCAATGTCATGGTAAGAACCAGGGTTTTAAGAGCTGTGATAGAACCAGGCTGCTGCTGACATTTTCAGTTTCCACCTCCAAATCAGCTACTTTCTATAGATGTATTTATTAAGCTTCAGAGCCTGGTCTGAATTTAGTTTTCCTTTTACTTAATATAAGTATGTTGTATCTTCAAATGGCAGAGGTAAAGGCAGGGGAGGAGGACCTCATGATACGAGACCAGGATCTTCTCTTTCTCCTTCTCCTTCATTTAAAAAACAAGATTAGATAAATTTGGATGAAGCACATCCGGGTAAATAGCATACACCTTATTGCTCCCTACATTTCTTCCCAGGTGGAGTATCTCTGATAGAGCAATTGTTTCAGGATCCCAGACTATCCCAGAATAAGCAGGCCCTGGAGGGCCTAGGGGACCTGAAGTTGCTTTTTGAATACCTGACTTTATTTGGAATTGCTGAGAAGGTAAGCTGAGTTGGGAGTGGACCTCTTGTGTCGTGAGAGCCTGGTCTGGGATTGACTATAGCCTTGTCCCCACAGATATGCTTTGACCTAAGCCTGGCTCGGGGCGTGGACTACTATACAGGAGTGATCTATGAAGCAGTACTGCTACAAACCCCAGCTCAGGCTGGGGAGGAGCCCCTGAATGTGGGCAGTGTGGCAGCTGGTGGGCGTTATGATGAGCTGGTGGCCACGTTTGACCCCAAGGGCCACAAAGTGCCATGTGTGGGCCTAAGCATTGGAATAGAGCGAATTTTCTACATTGTGGAGCAAAGGATGAAGGTAGGTCCTAGGTAGGGCTGAGGTAGGGCTAGAGATCTAAAAATCTATTTCTGGCAGTACAGTTGGACTGCTTTTCTGATAATTTATTTATCTTGGTTTTTGGAATTGCTGGTGCAGAGGATGTTTTTATTAATTTTACTTTCTTCTGTTTCTTATCAGAATTCTTTCAAGAAGGTACGGACCACAGAGACCCAAGTATTTGTGGCCACGCCCCAGAAGAACTTTCTCCGGGAACGGTTGAAACTAATTGCAGAGCTTTGGGATGCTGGGATCAAGGTATAGTGGGGCTGCTATCTGTGCCATTTAGGCATATATGGAACTCAGGAGCAAGGCTTATTTCTACCTTTTTTAGTATACCACTAGAGGGCCAGCCACTTATTTCTGGCTTCCTTGGAAATGTATGTTTTTGGAGTTTATGTGCTATGGTGATGGTAGTAAGGTCCCCTACTGTGTCTTGACTCCTTTCAGGCAGAGATGCTATACAAGAACAACCCTAAACTATTAACCCAACTGCACTATTGTGAGAACACAGGCATTCCATTGGTGGTCATTATTGGTGAGCAAGAACAGAAGGAAGGGGTCATCAAACTCCGTTCGGTGGCCAGCAGAGAGGAGGTGAGTGGGAGCAGGCAGAAATAGAAGGGATCAAGTGTTTGTATCTTTTCTAGATTCTTAAGAAATATGTGTTTTCTGGCTGAGAAAATAAATTCAGGGGTAGTAGTATTAGGGTTGAATGAAGACCTACCCCAAACAACAGTTGTAACCAGTGAATATTGGCTGTGTGGGCAGAAGAAGGACAAATGAAATTTGAATTGGTGTTTTGAGACTAATCAACAAAATAGATCAGATGTTTTAATCCTTTTCGTCTTGAGGGCATACATTTTCTCGGTAAACTTGGAGCCTTTACTACTCCCTACTGGTTGCATAAATAGTTGGAACTGATACAGAGTAAAATAAATCTGGAAAAACAATGGCTAAGAAGATAGTACCCTTTCTAGTTTGTCACATGAGGGTTCTCTTATGTTTTAGGTTGCCATTAAACGGGAAAATCTTGTGGCTGAAATTCAGAAGAGACTGTCTGAGTCTTGATCCTTGCCTGGTTGCCATCTGCTGCTCTTTGTAGAAAAATTTTCATCCAGGACTGAATTCCTGATAGACTTCACAACAGCTGGCCAGGATGGGTGACAAGTGCCTTCTGCCTCCTCTGTCCTTTCTGAATACGGAACTATAGAAGGCCCTAAGGACTCTTGGGCTAGTGTAAGCAGCTACTCTGCCTGGTGCAGATGGCTGGTATGTGAAAGAGACATACGTTTGCTGTAGAGGCAAATTTGAAATGCCTCTGAATGCTATGAAGAGGTGCTAAAATGGTTGCTGTGATCAAGGCTCTGGAAGAGTTGTCTCAGGCTGAGGATTCTGAACCATTGAGATCAGATGCCAGATACTTAGCTTTTCATTGCAGTGTTGGAACCAGATTCTGGGGAATGTGTCCACAAGTCCTTGGCCTGTCCAGAGAGTTTTGGGAAGACAGCACGGATGGACAATGGCTATTTTCTGCTACATCTGAGGACATAGATGGTATCTCAAGAGCATGGTATTATTTCTAGCCTATCCACTGGTAACAGTAGCAGGATGGGGCTGTCTGTTTAATAACCTTGAATATTGAACTTAATAGGTGAATTGAATAGATGGAGATCTGATCTTTTGAGATTTTGGAGACCATTTTCTATGCCAGAATCATTGCTGTGACTATTCTACACTGCCATGGAGGCTCTTCTAGAATTGGTTGGATAAAATATTAAATAAAATATTAAGTGTAATAGTTTGGGTAATTTGCTATCATGGGGTTCATTTGCATAGGCCATAGAAAATGATTGAGTGTACACTAGAGAATTCTGTGGAGAAACCTCCCTGGGGTGATACTTCTGCATTTAGTAAAGGGAGCTGCCACAGTTCCCTCTTTCTATTCTCCCTTCATACACTTATGTCACTAAAAATCACCATATTGTGAGCCATTTGCCAGAATGCTTCACTTTAGGGTGGTGTACTGATGACCTTTCTTTCCATATCTAATCCTGTTGATTAAATTGTGCCCTACAGACTCAATGGCCAATTCAAAGAAAACTGAGTTAAGGAATGGGTGGGTCCATTATTTCAAGAACTAGGGCCCAAGTGCAAAAAGAGTTTTTCTTCTGTGCCTGGGGAAAGGTAGCAGCTGTTGCAAATATCCTTTAGCTTAGGACCATATTCCTAGTGCTTGCTGGTGAATGGAACTTATAGATCCCCTAATTAGCACTTCAGCCTTTCAAAGGTTAGAAACTCTTTGACAATACATGCATAGTTGACTGGATTAGATCAACCCCTTGACAATACACGCATAGTTGATTGGATTAGATCAACTCCTTGACATGTATAGTTGATTGGATTAGATTAGTTTCTGAAACTCAGTTTCCTTTTTTGTAAAACAGATGAGTTGAACTAATAATCCTTTGATGGTTGTTTTGAAAGCCTGAGTTAAAAGAACGCTTGCAGGCGCCCTTACTTCCGCGTTGCTTCACGCTCTCATTACGCCTGCGCCATCTCCTAGGAGCGGAGGCGGGGCCGACGAGCGCGTATTAGAAGCTCTCCAGTCCTTAGCGCGTTTTAGAACACGGGACTCTAAACTTATTGGACGGCGGTCTTGCTTTACAGCTCCAGGCCGCTTTTTACGGCATTTTCCGGCTTTCCATTCACTTCGCTGTGAAGATGGCGTCGGGCAGCGGGGTAGGTGTTGTGTGTGAGGAGAATGTTTGCGGGTAAGGGCGGGTGTGCTTTCTCGTCGCTGAATAGAGACAGACAACGGTACCCGACTGGCTTCCCAACACCACTTGGCGATCCCAGGGTCTGGGTTCGAGAACTCCCCCTTAAGGTCCAGGCGCAGAGACCGGAGAACTCGCGGAGGTCTCTCGGGTTGGGGTCCTGAGTCCATCTTAGCCTCCTAGTGCGGTCCAGAGAAGCTTCGCTTTCGGAAAGTCCCGGGTTGACTTGGTGGCGAGAACACGGTCACCTCATTTTCTCTAGGGGTCCGGACACCATTAGCGACGGATCTTGAGCACTTTTTTCCCCTACAGACAAAAAACTTGGACTTTCGCCGAAAGTGGGACAAAGATGAATACGAGAAGCTCGCCGAGAAGAGGCTCACGGAAGAGAGAGAAAAGAAGGATGGTGGGTGCCCACTTCAAGGGTTAAGGGTATCATAGAGGCGATGCAATGGCTGGAGAGTGGGTGGGAGTTGAAAAGCGCTGCCCACTTGCCCCATGTCATCTCTGGGAGCGTGGCCTCCCTGGTCTTCGGTTTCTACATGTATAACAAAATGAGAGCGAGAAGGTGGACTGAAGTTGAGTTTCTTCTCAGCTTTGTTATCCTCTGCTTCCTTGCCATTCCTTCGCTTGTTCAGTTAGTGCTTTCTTGAAGGACATACAGAGAGGAGACTGGAATTTGCAGTAGTAACAAAGAATAAGCAAAGTGGAATAGTTTACTGCTGAACACTACTGCTGTCTTTTGAAATTTCTTAAGGGAGAGAAGGCCCAATCAAGACCCTCCCGCAAAGTCTCAGAAAAAAGCAGGGGTACCCACGAGGAATTTGTGATTGTTTCATGTGATGCTTAGTGGATGCCATTTCTCAGTACCTGGTACAGTGTCAGGGAATTGGTACTCCTCTTCTATATCCGCTTCATTTTACAAAAAGAAATTTCTAATTTTCTCATCTGTTTTCAAACATACAGTCTTATGCTTTACTTCCATACCACCTTATCTAACATTAATCCTCTTTGTTTTTTATGTAATGTGTATAATAAATAGTGCTTGGTGTGCCTGTTAAACGAATAAGTATTTCCCAAATGTTAGGTGGTCTTTTTAAAAATTTGACCGAGTGTTCCTTTTTGTGTGGTGCTTAGGGTATCTGCATGCATAAAAGCATTACTGAGTGCCTTGCTTCTCTTAAAAAGGTAGCTTCTGGTGGAAATACATAACTCCCCTTCAGTTAAGTTAATGAATAGAAAACACGTTGCTTCTAGACTTGCTGGCTTTATTTATTTATTAGATTGGTACCAGGGATTGAGCCCAGGGGTGCTTAACTACTGAGCTACATCCCCAGCTTTTTTTTTTTTTTTTTCTAATATTTAGAAACAGGGTCTTGCTGAGTTGCTTAGGGCCTTGCTAAGTTGCTGAGGCTGGCTTTGAGCTTGTGATCATACTGCTTCAGCCTCCCAGGCTGCTGGGCTTACAGGTATGTGCCACCGTGCCTGGTGACTTGCTGGATGTAAAGTGAAGAAAAGCTGTAGTGAATCGGGATTGCTTATCACTTTTTTCTGTGTTCAGGTTCTCATTCAGCTGCTGCTAACTGTCTCTTGGGTGCATATTGTGTTTCATCTTTCATGAATCAAAAAAGAAATGAAAACCTGAGCGAGGTGACACATGCCTGTAGGAGAATTGCAAGTTCTAGGCCAGCCTGGGCAACTGGCCAGACCCTGTCTCAAAATAAAAAAATAAGGGCTGGGGGGTGTAGCTCAATGATAGAGTGGAGCTGGGTTCAATCCTTGGTACCACAAAAGAAACAGAAATAAAAAGAAATGAAAGTAGTTCCCTGGATTTTGAGTTTCATTCATTTCTTTTTCTTTCTGGTTGAAGAACTATAATTTTGAAGGGACTTTCTTTCCCATCATGTTTTAGGAAAACCAGTGCAGCCAGTCAAACGGGAACTTCTGCGGCATAGGGACTACAAAGTGGACTTGGAATCTAAGCTTGGGAAGACAATTGTCATTACCAAGACCACCCCACAGTCTGAGATGGGAGGGTAAGTAGTTTTTCATCTTTGTTTGAAGCAAAGATGCGTATAATAATCTACCTGTTGGTTTTAGGAAGTGTAGAGGAGGGTCCCTGACCCCAGGGGACAATCTTATTTTGACCATAATTCTATCCTTTTATGTAAACATGTATTTTTATTTCTCTCCAGGGTCTTTAGTGAACAGTCTGTGGGAGGGGAGGGATTGCTTTGTGGACTTCGGTATATTAGTCCTATGACTACTGGGGTGTTTTTCTTTGTTAAGGTCTCAAGTTTGTGGTCTTTAGGAGAAGTTGCTTTGTGGGCATTTTAATATTAGTACTAAAACTACTTCTTAATATCTTGAAAGGGATTATTCTGTCAGAAGAAATGAAGGAAGGAATTACTGAGAAGATTTTTAGGGGAGAAATTAAATAGAGCTAGATTAGAACTAAGAAGCTGTTAATGGTGAAGAAAGGGTATTGAGGTTCCAGATTAGCTGCAAAGTCCATAGTTGTTATTAATTGATTGTATGGAAGATGCTGGTTGTGCATCTTCTTTCCAGACCGAGACTACATTCTGTAGGAAGTAGGGTTCCACAATAGCTTGTTACCCTTTTGTCACCCTACGACTCTTCCTCTGTTCAGTTAGGATTTCCAGCAGGAGAGCAATATAGATACCAATTAGTGTCCCTTCTCTGAGCTGTTTAGTATACCCACTGATATCATTTTTATCTCTATTATCTTTTGTTATGTAAATTATCAAGTTAATTCAGAGTTAAGCAGCAAAAAATAGTTTCTGTGGGCAAGGAATCTGGGAGTAGTTTACCCAGGTGTTTCTGGCTCAGGGTCTTTTGTAAGGTTGTAGTCAAGGAATTGGCTTGGAGGTCTAAATAAAGCTGGAGGATCTGCCTTCAAGCTCTCTCACATGCCTGTGATTTGGAGGCTGAAGTTCTTCATCCCATGGGCTTCTCAAAACAAAGCAACTGACTTGCCCAGAGCAAGTAATCCACACAAGGACAGAAGCCTTGTTTTTTAATGTCCTTAGAAGTACATACCATCGTTTTTGACGTTTTATTGGTCATACAGATCAACCCTGGTACCAACTGAGAGGAGGCAACACAGGGTAGGAATAGGAGGGTTGGTCTGTTTTGGAGGTTGGCTACCACCCTCTCTCAAGAGTTAAGCCATAATGGAATGAAGCCTTCAGACTCTAAAGAGATTACATAAAAATTAGTTTCTTTCTGTGTGTGTTGGTTTACACTTACCCCAGCATCTTGGAGGCTAAGGCAGGAGGATTCCAAGTTTGAGGCCAACTTCAGCAACTTAGTGAGACCCTGTCTCAAAATTAAAAGGACTGGAGATGTGGCTGAGTGGTAAAGCACCTCTGAGTTCAATCACCAGTAAGCCTGACTCCCTGAAATTGTAATTTCTTGTTTGATTAAAACCAGATTTGACCCATGTGCTATTTCTTCCCATCTGTCAGATATTACTGCAATGTCTGTGACTGTGTGGTGAAAGACTCTATCAACTTCCTGGATCACATTAATGGAAAGAAACGTAAGGCTTGGAGGTAGTTTGTGAGTGGGACTGGGATTGGGTTTTGGAAGTGGGGTAGGGAAGAGTTGTTTGTCTTTGTTCCCACCCTTTTTTTTTTTTTTAAATACCCAGGGAACTCTTCCATTTGCTTTAGCACAGGCCATCCTTTATTTTTTTAGTTTAATATTTCTTGAGGCTGTAAGGTGAGATATTGTTCTAAGTTCTCAGTAAGCCCAAATATGGCCTTCTAGGCCTAGGTAGCCCCACTGGTGCTTATCTGCTAAGTAAGGGCAGTAGAAAGCCACTGCTGCTGCTGGAAAACAAGTGAGGATAAGAATTTCTTTTAGCCATAATTACTTCTCCTATATAATTATTTTGGGTATTTTGCAAAAAGATATATTTTTTTATTATTTATTTTGTGGCGTTGGGGATCAAACCCAGGGCATTGCATATGCTAGGCAATTGTTCCACCACTGAGCTCCTTGCCCTGAAAAAATGTCTTCTTATTTTATTATTTTTGAAACATTAAAAAAAAAAATTCCAGGACTTTTTGAGGGGCTTTGTAATAACCTTAATTTATTCCCTATTGATGCCACCCAGATCAGCGAAACCTAGGTATGTCTATGCGTGTGGAACGTTCCACCCTGGATCAGGTGAAGAAACGTTTTGAAGTCAACAAGAAAAAGATGGAAGAGAAGCAGAAAGATTATGATTTTGAAGAAAGGATGAAAGAGCTCAGAGAAGAGGTGAGACTCTTATCCCTCCCCCTCTTTAGCTTTGAATTTTATTTTATTGCTCATGGTTGGCTCCCTTCTTCATGCTATACTTTCTCTTCCCTAGTTTTGTCCCTGAATTTCTGTATACTAGGGGAAAACGTTCTTTGAGCTGCTCATGAGCTAAAGGAAATGGCTCCAAATATACCTTTTTTCCTGGACTGTTTGGGCCATTTTCCTAGACTGTTTCAGCTAATTATTTTTTTATTTAATTTTTTAAAAAGACTTATTTTTTTTTTTTAAGAGCAATTTTAGGATCACAGCAAAATTTAGAGGAAGGTATAAAGATTTTCAATTTACCTCCTGCACCCCACACATACATAGACTCCCCATATTCTTTTTTAAAACTATAAGACTTAAAAAAAAAAATGGATTAGCTCAGTGTACCTAGTCTCTGAGTAGTCTGTGGATCTAGGTTGATAGTGTCAGAATTCTGTTTCCTCCACTTACTGACTGTGGAGGAAACTTAGAAACTGGGGTGTGTTATATAACTTCCCCATGATTCAGGTTCCCTATATTAGTGATCTTAGTATAATAATACATAAAGTACTATGAAGTACTTCCTGGCATATGCTACATGTTCCAAAATGTTAAATGGTTTTGTACCTATAACCCTGTTAAGAACTAGAAATGAAAGGGGCGGCGGGGGAGAACTAGAGATGAACTGGGGTATAGGATTGGAAGTTCCAGATTATCCCTTATAATCTTTGTTTAAAAAAAAATTACTCTAATTTGTTATATACCTTATAATCGTTCTGTGGCTTTTACTCTGCCCTTGAGATTTTTTTACTTTCTTCTAAAGATAGAAAGGAATCTTGAGGCTCCCATTTCTTTCTTTCTTTTTTTAATATATATATATATATATTTAATTGTAGATAGATACAATACCTTTATTTTATTTATTTATTTTTATGTGGTGCTGAGGATCAACACCAGTGCTCCCATATGCTAGGCAAGCACTCTGCCACTGAGCTACAACCCCGGCCCCTCCCATCTCTTTTGACAACATTTGGCTCAGGAGTCTGAACTTCTGAGTTATTTCTACCCGTCCCCCCAGGAGGAAAAGGCTAAAGCATATAAGAAAGAGAAACAGAAGGAGAAGAAGAGGAGGGCCGAGGAAGACTTGACATTTGAAGAAGATGATGAGATGGCAGCTGTGATGGGCTTCTCTGGCTTTGGTTCCACCAAGAAGAGTTACTGAGGCTTTCTATGCTTGGCCTAACTTTGGCCTATGCTGGACCTAACTTTGTGTGTGTGTTAGGGGGATCATTTCTTTTTGGGTACTGGGGAAAGTCCTTAAGAGTGTCTGTGGGCAGGGCTAAAGGGTGGGTGTTTGTGGCTTCCCTCTACTGTGGGAGAGGACACAGGATGCAGAGGTAATGCTGTGGCAAATTCCTTTAGCTTCCAGTATATCACTGGAGTCACAAGACCTCTGCCCATCTGAGTTCCCAATAAAGAAAGGCCTCCCCTTCTGAGACTGCTTTCCCAAAACTCCCTCTGCATCTTTCCCTCTTCATCTATCTAACCTCTTGTCTGAGCATCCTACCTTTATCCTGTGTTCTGCCTTTGTTTTATTTTTGACTTGTTCAGCTTGCACCAGAAGGATTCTCTGGGTCCCCATTTTCCAGCAGATGCCATATTTTTGACCAGCCCTGCCTCCCATCCTGCCCTATGGTTCTCTAGCCTCCTCCTGTGCATGCATGTGTATTTCTGCCTGGGTCAATGGTATGTGTGGATTGTGTGCATGAATCTGTCACAAAGAGGGGAGCCTGAGCTAGAATCTCAGAGCATTGCTGCCCTGGGGCCTGATGTTCTTGGTTTCCTTAGCGCATGTAACAGGAAATTAAATGGGATGAGTGTTTGGTGTGGTTTCTGTCTGCTGAGTTTTTTAACATTGTTCTTCAGATGTGGACTGTTTTACCTTCTCCAGTTTGTTTCATTTTACTGAAGATTTCTTTGTTTTTGTCTTCCTTGTGAGCAGGCTCTTGGAAGAACCTGTTTGATGCAAAAAAAGAAAATGGAAAAAAAAAAAAAAAAAACACAAACCAACCAAAACCCAAAAAATACAACCAAGCAAACAAACTCACTGTGGGAGCCCTTGGGTCTCAGAGGTTATTCAACATGTATAATAAATGGCATTGACTGGGCCTGTTTCACATTTGGTGGGAACATTCCATATTTTTTCCTGTGTGTATGTTTTTCCTTCCCATACTGAGGATTTACTGTAGAGCCTTTTTTCTCTCTCTTCATTTGACCTCTGTGTTTTTATATTAACTTAGGTTCCTTCAGCATGAGTTGTTTTCCTCTCATGAAAGGTCTGGGTCCAGAGGAGTCTAGACAAAACTTCCTATAATTTCAGCCTCCTCTGATCATGAACAGAAGTCAGGGTTGAACTTAACAGTTTTTCTTATCTGCAGTTGGGCTAGGCACCAGGTTACTCAGTCTTAGCACTATTTACATTTTGGGCTAGATAAGTCTTTGGTATAGGGGCTGTTTTAAATATTATAGAATGTTTAAAAACATCCCTGGCCTCTAACCACTAGATGGCATAACAGCACCTCTAGTTTGACAACTAAAAATGTCTGTTTCAGGAGGTAGGCAAATTGCCTCCTCTTAACCTCCACTGAGAATCACTGAGAAGACGACTTCCCTACCAGGATCTAACTTGAGAATTAAATAGCACAGTCTAAAAACAAAACAAAAATCTGATCTAAATCGGGTACTGCCAGATCTAGTGATACAGATGTAAAAAACAGCCATAACGCAAGCAAAACAAAAAACCTCATTGAAAATACATTTGCTATTGTACGCTGAAAAGGAGAATTTATTCAGGCTAAGGCTGCCACCTTTTTCTGCTCTTTCTGGCTCTTCAATTTTATGAAATATCTGAACCACTGTGGGTCCTGCAAAGCATTATACTCTGGGCTTTTGTATAAAATGCCCTTGCTATCAGGCATGACTTTTGCCTAATTCTGATACTGAATCTGGCTACTGGAAACAATTTGTCCACCTCAAGGTTGGGCTCAAAGTTTTATATAAGTGTTAGTCAATACTGTGTAGGTCAGTGGCTGCTCTTGCCAGGATCATGTATATTCCAGGGCGTTGGGTAAAAGTCTATCCTTTTCAAGACAGGCTGGATATATTATTGATGGGGAGTTCTTTTTATGGTTAAGTATTCATTCTTTTGGAAACCCATTTTTGGAAATTCAACTTAGCTTCAAATGATTTATTCTCTAGCACAGTGGAATCTTCTGGTCAACTCCACTAAAAAGCAATTGTGAATTCCAGATTTTCTAAACCCTCTTGGCTGGTAAATGATTTGAGGTGTCCCTTTACCCCACACTGGAACTCGAACTCTGGAGCTGTTTTGAGATAGGATCCTGCTAAATTGTAAAGGCTGCCCTTAGTCTTGGGATACTCCTACCTCAACCTCTCTGTAGCAGGGATTACAGGCATATGCTACCATGCCTGACTAAGTCTTGAAGGGACCTAGTCAGGTCATAGGTGTTCAGAGGGGCTCAAAGTGCTGGCTTAGAAAAGGGGAGGTAGGAGACAGTATGAAAATTTAGGAACCAAGAATAATCTCAGATTATTCAGAAATCTCTGGAAGAGGAATTTATTTTTCAAAACTAAAATGCATGGTGACTGCATTCTAGTTGAGGAATGTACCTGTAACTGGCTTAGATGTGTTTATTTGGTGAATGCTTAGGTGAACAATCTTAGTTTCTGGTGGTATCCTCTGGGCCAAAATATTAAGATCCCAAATGTCTTGGAATACATTCTGGTGAAATTGCTGTTTGAAAGTGCTTAGGTAGCACTATGTAAAAACAAGTCATTCTAAGGAGGTATGGATGGTGTGATCTCAGTGGCCAAGGGCATTAAGTTGATAGGGCCTGAAGGATCTGTTTTCCAGAAGGAAAGCATCACCCATGGGACAAGATGCCCTTCACTTGAGTCAAGTGACCACAGCCCTTTCCCATCAGCTCTGTATTTGCACCAGTGAACTGCCCCATCTTTTTGTGTTTCCATATTGTGGTGGTAAATAACCTTATCTAGTCATATCATAGCCTTGTGATCAGGAGCCTTTCTCTTAAGAAGTGACATTGTGTATGTCTCCTCTGATCCATGTCATGACTTTTAACTCTCTGAAAGACTTCTCTACTTCTAAGCAGGTTCCATCAATTAATGTATATCAACTTCCAGGTGCATGGTTGATGTCTGTCTGGATTCTCCAAGAAGCAGATCTGAAGCAGGGATTTGATGCAAGTCATTGATTTAGATCATGTATGAGAATAGAGAATTGAGACAGGAGGGTTAGATTACTTGGATGGCTACCAGTGTGAATAGCTGGAGCCTTATGTTGTGGAACTTGGCACAGACCAACATAGAACACTGGTTTCAGAATATCCTACCTGGATGGGAGAGTAAGGGAGCTGGAGTGTTTTTCCTGAGAGTCAAGGGCTGCTGGGGAGGATATTGTTTTCCTGGTTTGGTAGATGGGGGAAGATAAGCTTTCCTTCCACAGTTATGGAAAAAAGGCTCTTAGGTAATTGGAAATTAGCAGGAACCTAATGAAATTGAAAGTCCCTAAGTGGGCACCAGCGGGTCAAACACAGGAGGAATTTTAAGTGACTGTGCAGTAATCTCCTGGATGACCTGACCTGCTCCATACCATTCACAGGCAATTCCTTGATCTTGGTTTTGGATTTTTGGTAGCAGAAGTACTTAACCACTGAGCCACATCTCCAGTCCTTTTTATTTTTTATTTTGACACAGGGTCTCCCTAAATTGTTGGGGCCTCCCTAAATTGCTGAGGCTGGCCTTGAACTTGCAATCCTTCTGCCATAGGCTCACAAACTGCTGGGATTACAGGTGTCTGGCTTCCCTTGGTGATTTTGAACACAGCCTTTGAGGTAGCTGTTACCATCAGACAGACACCTAATCATTAGGTTAATTGCAAATCTGGACAGGGAGAGGCTTTGTGCCTCATTAAGATGCTCAGAGATGATGATGCAGGGAGTAAGATATCAATTGATCTCTGTCCTCAATGAGCTAATCTTGGAGCTGAGGGCATGAGACTTGTGTGAGTGAATTTGCCTTGTTTTGTTTCCTTTACCAAGAATGCCCTTCCCTGTATATGCAACAACAACAAAAACCCACAAAAAAATTGAGGAACAAAAGATCTTTATGCCTTTAGGTGATTGTGGCTTCAGGCATCCTCTGGGCTTCTGGCATTTCTCCCATAACCTCCTACAAAAATTGAAATGAGCAGATTCTCCCAACATTTCTACTTAAAAGCACCTATCTTCATATCTGTGTCATGCTAGTGTGCAGGAGACCCTGGTTGGATCCCCAGCACGACAAATTCAAACAATATACCTGTGTACGTGTACATATATGTACAAGGATATTCACTGCAGCTTTATGATAGCAAAGCATCTAAAACTAGTATATTTAAACTTAAATATAAAGCAAGCATTACAATACATATGAATTAGGTCTTATATGTACTGATAGGAAACCTCCACAAGACATTAAGTAAACAAAAAGAATACCCAACAAACTGGATTTTCAGTTTGACTTACAGTCAAGGAAAAATTTGTGATCCTCAGCCCTGCAAAACAAAAAATTGTTGTGTGTACAGTTAGTTAGGCATATAGATTGAGGAAAAGGACTGGGAAGATACACAGTGAAATTTTAACAGTGGCCAACTGGAGAAAACTTGAAATTTCGGGGGAATGTTAGCAGTTTACAGGGCAGGTAAAGGAATAGGTGTTCTTAGGGTGTGTGTGTGTGGAGGGGGGGCGGTACCAGAGATTTAACTCAGAGGCACTCAACCACTGAGCCACATCCCAGCCCTAAACCTATTTTGTATATTATTTAGAGACAGGGTCTCACTGAAGTTGCTTAGAGCTTGGCCCTTGCTGAGGCTGGCCTTGAACTTTGATCCTCCTGCCTCAGCCTCCGGAGCCGCTGGGATTACAAGCGTCGCCACCGCGCCCTGCCAGAATAGGTGTTGTTGTGGTTAAAATAATTTTAGAGAAAACAGTAATAGAGGAAATGATACTAGAAGTATATAACTTCTGGATGAGGGTCTGTAGCGTTTTTCTGGTTTAAGCATGCAAGTCCCAAGATAAGGACTGAATTACAGTTTGCACCTTATAAAACTTTCACTTCCTTGAAAGAGTTGATTATCACGGAGTGGTAAAAGTTGATTGAGAGACCCCGTGTATTTGTTGGAGGGGCAAAGGGACCGAAAGGCGGTAGGAGGACTTTACTGCGGAAGAGTTCACCGAAGGGTAGCCTCTGAGTCCTTGCTGCAGCGCGTCGGGAGAGGAGCATTCTGGAGCTGGGAGCTGATTGGACAGTGGAACGCCGAGTCATCCCGGAGAGCTCCCAGCGTGATTCACTCTTTGTGACGCACGTCTTTCCCAACAGTCAGGTAAATAAAGTCAGATCCCGGCTTGCGGACTGGCTCTAGCTCAGCGGTTCCTTCGACAAAAAGCTTACAATCACCTCTGTGGTTCGAGACCCGCGGGCGCTCCCCAGTCCTTTTGCTGCAACCTCCACTTTTATTTTCCCAAGTAACCAGCCAGGAGGGTTTAAGACGCCTCCTCTGCCTCCATTTCTCCGTAACCTACTTTGGAGTGAGTTTTGAAACCCCTTCTCTATCCGGAGCTTCTGGAAGGATCTGTTTCCCGCGAAGTTCAGCAACCTTTCCGTGATTGAAGGAATCAAGGCTTCTTTGGAGAAACGGTGGATTCTAATACTGGGGCAAGAAATGGAGATGAGCCCGGAGCATCTTGTAGTGCGGGAAAGTAAGGGAGTGCTTAAAAGCCACCCCTCCCTCGCCCGTTAAGTGCCAAGACTTAACTTTCGTAATTTTGTAGTTACTAATATCTGCGTTTTTGTTTAAATAATTACCATTACACTTGCATCTTTCTAAATGTCTTTTTTACCTGCGACCCATAGGATTTTTTTTCTTTCAAATCTAGTTGATTTTCTGATATACCTCAGAGTTGATCAATCCGGATCAATTTTGTAGGCTCATCGAAGACCTTTTCAATGTTCCTTATGGCCAGAAAGTTTCCTTGTCTTACACTTTTGAATATTGCATCTGTTCTCTTATTTTCTTCTTCAGAAACAGTAATACATGTTGGA